ATCGAGTGCAAGGTTTTTTTTTTTTTTTTTTTTTTTTTTTGTCATTAATAAAATGTTTGTTTTTCACAACTAATCTTTCGACACAACTACCAGCGCAAATAAAAGTGGTTAGACTAAAACTTTGGTGATTGATCGAGGCGGGGATCTTCACGTGATTCGCTCATACAAAGTTACACGGCTGCCTTATCAGGCCAAACACGAAATGTCAAACCAACATTAAATTGTGAATTACCTTTTTATTCGAAAAGCATCGTCGTGTAATCAGTGATTTTTTATATATGGTGATATTTGTCTGGGCGCAGACGCAATTGTTCTGTTCGCATGCATTGAAACAATAAAAAAAAAAAAAAAAAAAACCTTGCACTCGATCAAACCATTGGTGGTAGTGAAAAGAGAAGGATTGCGCCAAAAAACGTTGTCTGACATCGTCTATCTCGGGCAGTTTACCGACACGGGTCATGTGCAGTGCGTTGCATATATGAATTTTTCAAACAGATTTGATAAAAAAAAAAATAATTGGCCTTTTGGGAATCACTAAATTTAGCCGTCTGCTAGTAACTTCGGTCGAGTGTGCATTTTAAATTATCATCGTATGATCAGAAAAGGACAAATTGCATTGCTCAGTCACACCCACTCTATTCATTACCGTGCTCTGGGCGCTCATTGTCATTATTGTTTTCTTCCGTATGTTGTGTGAGGATCTAAGGAAAACAAAGAGATTATATAGAATCTTAAATGAAAATGACACCGCTTTGAAGTTATTTCCTGGAATCTTCGCTATAAATATCTACCATTTGCTGATTATGTCCTGTGGAAATGAAGATAAGGTCATATAGATTCTGTAGGTTTAGGTTTAAGCCTGTAGAAAGACCTTTCTTCGTTCTCCCATCGTTTCCAACGGCGATTGAAAAGCAATCGTCTGTCCAAACTCGAAAATTTTGGCTGGTTGAGTGCGTATGACTTTTTCTTTACTGAATTTCGTCAACCATTTCCTAATTCCATTTCATTCTTCAACTTCCCAAAGTAGTTTTCATATAAGCTATTATGGTATAATCGAGATCAGTTCTCACTAATGTTCACCTTGAAAAGAAAATTTTACTCGGTTGCTGAATTTCACGTCACACTATTGAGAAACGTAACTCCTCTAGAGTCAAAATGCAAAACTCTCGAAAAATATCGCTTGGAAATTTTCTTTCGTTCATCTATCGACTTCCACGTCACGTTACGATCGTAATATCGAAAATCCGTTATCGCATTCATCACTACATACCTCGTATAACCTTTTAACGACCGCGCATAAAACGTTCTCATAACGATTGTCACACCTCGAAGATCTATTAATAGGCATCCAATTATTTTGCGAAATTTTTTTTTTTTCTGTTTTTCTTTAACGAATAGTTATTGAATGAAACAGTTGTCGCAATTTACAAAGTTTTTATTTTTTATTCCTCTTTCTTTCTTACTTCTTAGCAAATAATAAAATATCTTTATATAATACTGTGCCAGAAACGTCAGTTGTCATGTAGACGTGCGTTTTCTATATTCCCGTGACCTGCACGTGATCTAATTGCAACGAATGTTCGTTTATCGCTATGAGTGTCGAACTTGACGGTGCAAAAAAAAGACGAGATCCGGAAACTCGATATACAGTATCTAGGATATCTTTGAGCATTTTTGTTTGCGTGCAGCAGCAGAGCACAGTATTATTGAGCATGATGCCCTGCCCCATCACCTTTCCAACTGCGATTGAGAATTCGTATGTGACGCGTTTATTCGATTAATTGGTGATGTGTGACAACAACATCAAGCAAAATGAAAATAAATACGATAACAATAATGATCGCATGCACAAGAAAAAAAGATGGAAAACAAAAATTACTTGTAGTAAACGAAACAATGTTAGATAATAGAAGATGCGGGAACCACGTGAGATCTCAAAAAGATTTGTCCAGATATGTAGAATTCGATTGGTTCGAAGTTAGCGTTAATGCAGGCGTATATTGACAATAATTAATGGGGAAAAAAGAAAAAAGAAATGGCACACACGGAGATTGATTGATGTAGTCCCCAAGAGCAAATAAAAAATTTTTAATGGTTGGAAATGGTAAGATACGATACCGCAAACACGTATAATTTACCGAAGTAACGCCCTGGTTGCCTAAAATCGATCGTTATTCTCGTAAATTATCGCTGCCAAGCCATGCACATAAGTTTCCTTCGAGTATTGGAGGGTAGCATTGATCAGAAATGGATGAATGAATGACGGCGAGGACCGTTAGTACGCGGAGAGAAATGCCCGTTCACATGCGAAGTTATGTGAGGGCGGAAAATCTGAGATATTTGGAATAGTGGGACAACAGGACAATGGGAGTACATAATGAGATGCGGCAAGAAGGCGGTGAGTAAGGAAACGATCGCAATTTTAACATAATTTCAGATGTTTGCACAATTATTCTATTTTTCTGCATGATGTTTGATCTCTCTTCACCAACGCACGCTTGTCATTTCGATTACAGGCCGCACATAATTGAATTATTGCATGCCATCGAACAAGTTGTCATACTGTGAGCGTAGTGGTACACGTATTTCTTAGCAGAGTTTTGATTGCTATTTTAGACCGCAGAGGGGTGTGTTCCCCATGCGTCACTCGTGTGGCATCCGTGCAGGCAAAATTGCATTGTTTTCAAGTGAAACTTCCGTACCACAATAATTACATTATATTTTAATTCGGAAATTTCACCTGTGAATTCGCCTGCACATGTGACGCACAAGTGACGCATGGGAACACTCCCCTTTGCAGCCTAAAATAGTAAGATTACGCGATGGTAGAGAGCCGAATTTGGGGGTCATTTACCTAACAACTTTTCGATCATAAATAGCATGCAATGTAAGGAATAAACTCGGTGGCATCTTCGCAAACTATTGTATAGGATATGGTAATGGTAACCAAATAATCGGGAATATTGAAGATGTTACCGATTAATAACATCAGGGAGAGGTTTTTCAGGCGCTGATGTATCACTAGAAAATACAGTGCACGTGGTGCCTCGGGCGCGATTGCATATTTGTTCATTGACAATCAGCGAATTTATGACATTATTGGGCGAACGAGCTTTCGCCTCTTTAACGGCATTAATCGAAGTCGGATGCACGTGAACATTCCTTTGACCACCATTTTTATACGTGAAAGAAATTATCTCGATCCTGGTGATACGGTGAAACCTCATATGTTGACCAGAGCAAAAAAAAAAAAAAAAAAAAAAAAAAAGCCGGAGCGTGCATTAAGGAGGCGATACGTGCAGAGAGTAAGAGCGAGTGCATAAGTTTCCGTAATCTGGACCGAATCACCCTATAGATTAAGCTAGGGTAATAATAGGCGCACTTTGATGGGTTTCGGTGTATAAATTGAATTGTTATCATATCGCATCTCCCTTCCATAATGAGGTTGAATTGTAAAGATTCAAAGCATTTATGGCTAAATCAATTCCCTGTAATATTTACTGTATGTATTTGCAGTATTTGTGTATGTCGCAATGAAATATTTATCACACAAAACTGGAAGCTTCCACGTGATCGTTGACTTTCGGTAAACGGAGACACTGTATATGCTGTATATGCTAATAGGTCACAGGCTTTTCGGGCATTGATTTTTTTTGAACTAAATTTAATTTCATATTGTTAAACTCTTTGATGCTAATTGCGTATGAAATGTACACGAGTCACAGTGTACGTATTGTGTAATACCCGAGATGCCACCAATTAAATTTGATGAAATCTCATGATGCGCTTAAGTAATCATTTAATACGAATCTTAATTCTGACCGGGTCAACTATATAAAGGGAAGTATAAGGCAATCCAAACTTTCACCACAATACCGAGAAGCACAAACCGTATTGTTCCGGGAAAAAAAGAAAAGAAAAGTACCGATAGAGGATGGGTTGGGTATGTTTAATCGATGCTGGCGATTGCCGAAATTTTTAAGGAGACGGTAGGTAATCAATTATATGCGGCACGATGAAGTTGTTTACTCTGAAAGAAATGTGAGTGCAGATACTACTCGTAGACATTGAGGCGTCCTAAACAAATCGCGTGCAGAATCTGGCGTAAATCACCGGCGGACAATACCTGGTGATATGATTTAAGTTCAACTGAGGTGTTGGCATTAGATTTCAATTCTTATTTTCTTGGTACGCACGTACAGTACGGTGTGCAGTATGTTACAATACCATGTCGCGCGGACGTATCTTACAATCCAGAACACCGTTTTTGATAATGCTTTGGTTCCCACGTGATTTGCTTCGTCGAATGATCTTTTTGGAAAGCCACACAAGTGGGTAGGTACCGTACAACGTACAGTAATTACAGTACTTCCAGAAATTCTAAAAAAAAAATAATCATCATAAATTCGCAAGCTCATAACTCGTGACGATGCAGGTTTGAATTGTTTTTAGGAGTTACTACTCCGGGCCCCAAAACTATCCCTCGAAATACGGTGATTGAAGAAATAACAACAGGGATTCAAATTATTGTATTGTTGTTATTACTTTTACTAATTTCCAGCAGGGGTCACGAGCGTGTATTGTGTTTTATTGTGGTAATGAAGGCGACATAAATTAGTGTACACGTAATACGCGTCCATAATACAGAGGATGTGAACGAAAAACAATACTTCTTTCGGTATATAACAAGGAGCAGTGGTTGAAACGTAGTGGTCAGAATCACACCAATATTTGCCGACAAAAGTATGTCAACACAGGAGCAAACATCTTACCCCGGCAATAAGTTAATTTGTCAGCTTCAAGGATTTTTGCGGGATGGTGGTGAATTTTGCAATGTGGACGAGCAATGTAATCAGTTTGGGGAAAAGTATATTGAAACTCGGGATGATCATAATTTTGTTGGGGATATTGAAAGAGTTTCTCGACATTTCAGAATTCCTGAAGGATTAAATCCGAATTTCCCCGAAGAAAGTCAATACACTGCCGCACTTCGTTCGGAGCTCTCCGTGGATGGAGATAATTCCAATTATTTTCACTCAGAAAGTCCATTTTACCCCATTTTAATGAGTCTTTTTGATCTCAGAGACAACCTTTACTTGTTGGACAAGAATTACATACTTTCACGCGCGTCCGAGTTGATTATTGAGGTAGAAAGCCTGAGCACCATCGAAGGTACCTCCGATTCATACATTCGACATCTTATCACCATCCTTGCTCATCAAATTTCAGAGATATGTGACAAGCAAGTCGAATCCACAAATTCGTTGCTGGAAAGGAATTCCGATGCAATTCAAAAGTTGACAAATGCATTCCGCGACAACACGCAGCAATCTCAACTTTCCGATAGTTCAGTGAGTCTGCCGGCGACCGATAATTCCGAAAATCCCCGTAAAACTTCAACTCGCAATCGAATGGACCCCTTTGCCACATTGTGGTGTATAAAATATTTGCTCGATAATAATCTTCAGAAACCTAACAAGAAACAAAGGTATTTACTCTCTCTTTGGACAAACGTCCCGGTTCATGATATCGATAGATGGTTCATCAGGACCAATATCAATTACATCAAAACTAATGATGAGGGAACGGCGCGTAAAAGGCTAAGCGAACGAGCAAAGACAATTAGCAAACAGCTGAGGAGAGATGCCGCAACGACGAATGCGAAGAAACAAGTGCCCAAGGCATGAGATACAATCCGCATCAATTTCCCCGAGTAAACAATTTATTTTATTTTCTCTTCCGATTATGTTGTCACTATGAACTAGAAAAATAAGAGCATGTGACTTTTATTGTAATCTTTAATTCTGGCGCAGTAAAGATGATCTTAATTTAGACGTCACTGTTAACCTCAAATGAATATCTAGTTGGAAACAGTTTTGTACAAGTTGGGTTACTCGGTTTATCTTTTAAATCATATGTAATACTGTATTTTATGTGCAGGTTAAATCGTCCGGAGTTGGACGAAGGATGTCCGGTGTTTGTTTAAAGGGGATGGGGACAGCTCTCTTGTATCCGCGTCTTTTTTAACATCATTTTTTTATGTTGATTCTTTGTTCTCCTAAGCCGCGTTTCGAATATTTTAGAGTCCATTTGTAAGATATTATTATGCACAGCGTAATTTACGAGTTTTTCGAACGTGTTTACAGCATTACATAACATGACACGATAATAAATAACAACAACAAAAAAAGTTACTCTTGACGGGCAACTTTGAACCGTTCAAACTATTGTTACCAATTACGGTTCGCATTATTAATATTCGTTACATTGTTATTACTGTGAGAATTTGAATGCGAAGCAGGTGAAATCAAAATTTGACACCGGCCCGTCATCTTCGGTGTATACATACATACATTATATACGCATCCATGTAAGAGTCGGTAGTATTCTTTTTTTTTTTGCAAATGGTATTACCGTAAAAGCGCGAAATGACGCCCAAGGGGGCGTCATTTCGGTATTTTGTAACAATTATTATACTGTA